ATTATCAGATGGGCAGGAACAGGGGGAGGGGTAAAAAGACATGTCATCTGTATGCACTCGAATAGCGAATGGAGGCCGCGCACTTTCCCACCGGTCCGTTTTTTAGGCTACTTCCGTTTTATAGCGGAGCATGTGCTTAATATGAGTAGTTGAGAAATAAATATAAGAACACTTGTTTCACTCCATGCATCAACCACTGTTTGAGGAGCTGCTTGAGGAGCTGCTCTTGCTGCCCAACAGGTGATATTCTGCCTTGGGCTCCCCAACCAGAGGAGGACGAAGCTAGCTGTCCTCCGGCTACACCTTGGTGCTACCCTACAGAGTGCTGCTGAGGCTACTGTAGACCTTCTTTGCAAAACATTGTGTTTTAATCAATTAGTTGGTGACGTGAATATATTTTGTTTAGTTTTGTATAGGATCCTCCACTGAGCCCTAGGTGTGAATACTTTCCGAAGGCACTGTAACTACTGTTCCCTGAAGGAGGGAACAAGGTTAAACATACTATGGGGAGTTAACAACAAATCCTATTCACCTGAAGCAAACTGAAATCACGCCGAACACGCCCAACGGGGCTTTCAGTCTGTTTCTCGGTATAACATACTATGGGGACATACAATCACACTCCAAGCCGGCTCAGAGGGTACCAAACTAGGAGGCCCTTGGCAGCCCAAGCACACACAGGTTCCACCGGCTCTAAAAAGGAGTTACAGAAGCCACCTTTTTCCCTAATACTTACCCGAGAAGCCTGAACTGTCAGAGCCTCATGAGGCTTGAACTGTCAGAGCCCGATATAGGGAACCAGAACCTGCTGCAACTTGGCTGTGCTACTGCAGCCCAAGTCCTAGACCCTATGGTTTCAAGAACAATACTTACCTTGTGAGCCTGAAATGTCAGACCTCGTACAAGGAACCGCAAGTCCAAAACAACAAAACACCTGTCGTGACTTGGTAAAGCGCACATGCGCACTGCATAGCATCGACCAGAGTTGATCAACCATGGCACCCCGAGGCTCAAACCCACAGGGAAACTGTGGTAACCCGGAGAAATTGCTGCCGTCGACACAGACCCCCCATGGATCACTGCCCAACCGGTGGATGATCTCCAGGAACCAGGGTAGTCTGGGCCAACTGGGAGCCACCCAAATCAACAACAGCCCCTCCTGACAGACCCTCTCCATGGTGGCCTGAATCAGGTCCACCGGATGAACGCATAGAGCAGGGTCTGAGGCCACTGATACACCAAAGCATCCATTCCCAACAGAGTGCCCAGATCCCTTATTGAGAAGAACAGACGATAATGCACGTTTTCTTGCGATGCGTAAAATCTATATCGGCCCTGCCGAACCGGTCCCATATCTGGGCCACCACCGAGGGGTGCAGTCTCTTCTCTGTAGAGATAGGACCCCCTCCCTTGGAAAGTAGATCCGTACCCATGTTAGGAAATCTGGCCAGAAACTGAATGCGCTGAGCCGGAGTCAAACAACTTTTCTTGTGATTCACAATGAATCCCAGAGACTGAATATGGGAAACCAGCGTGGCAGTGTGGCACTCCACCTGTTCCCTCGACTCCACTATGACCAGCCAATTGTCCAGATAAGCCAATACTCTGATCCCCTGGCACCGCACCGGGGTCAAAGCCGCCTCCACCACCATAGAAAAGGTGCGGGCAATAGGGAGTTGGGGAGGATCTATAGCAAAATATGCATCCTTCAGATCCATGGACATGAACCAAACACTGGGACGCACCTGCTGCAATAGCCAGCAAAGAGTGAGCATTTTGAACTTGCAACCTTGAGGTGCTTGTTTAAAACGCGCAAGTCCAGGATGGGATGCAACGTTCCATCGCTCTTGGGAACTAAGAAGTACCGGCAGTACCAACCACTCTGTACTTGTGACACAAGGACCACCTGAACAGCCTGCTTTTGAAGGAGAGGCTCCTCTCTCAAGACAGGCACTAGGACCTCAGAGACCATTGACGTAATGATGCCACAAAAAGGAGGACACACAGCGAACTGCAGACCATACCCCCTCATCACATGGGGCGGCAGGTAGCTTAGTGGTTAAGAGCGTTGTGCCAGTAACCGAAAGGTCGCTGGTTCTAATCCCTAAGCCGACTAGGTGAAAAATCTGTCGATGTGCCCTTGAGCAAGGCACTTAACCCTAATTGCTCCTGTAAGTCGCTCTGGATAAGAGCGTCTGCTAAATGACTATAAATGTAAATGTAATCACCGTCCTCATCACCCATGGTGAAACTGCGCATGCCCGCCACTGTATGTAGCACGCTGCCAGTCTCCCATACATTATCTCCTGAAGGGGCAGAGCACCACCCTGAGGACTAGAATATATATTTTCTGTCATGCTTGTTTTCATATCCACCACTCTTGACAACCGTGTGTCTGAACGTGGGGAAGGATCTGTGCGTTCTGATAGCCGACCCACACCGGGTTCAGATACCTCAGTAACCAGTAACTTGCCCCCATTGACCGAGCCACTTGGGAGCACTGTTGGCACAGTAAATGCTTGGTGAGGAGGGCCATTAGCCAAACAACCTTGTTGGCAAAACCGACTCTTCCAAATACCTACGCCTGTCCCTCTCTGGAATGCTGAGAACCGGCACTGTTTATTCGGAAGCACCATGCTAGGTAGGATGACACCCCTATCGACTCCGCCCACCAATCTTCCTCACAAAGTTAGCCCGACTCCCAATGGAAGTTGAACCCAGCCGGAGACAATGGTCGCATAAACTGGTCCAAGCCAAGGCCTCCTGAGCGTGTTTTCACCCCAGGCAACAGGACCCATGCCCTAGGGAACGGTCAGAGGTTCAAACTTACTCTTACCACTGGCAATCTTACTCAAGCAAGGAAACACTAGCTATACAAGCAGAGCAGAATGTAGTTCACTTTTAGCAAACACAAAAACCGACCCAAAACTCGCAACATCTAGGGAAGGGGTATTCAACTCTTACCCAACGAGGTCCGGAGCCTGCTGGTTTTCTGTTCTGCCTGATAACTAATTGCACCCACCTGGTGTCCCAGGTCTAAATCAGTCCCTGATTTGAAGTGAACAATGAAAAATGCAGTGGAACTGGGTTTGAGGTCCAGAGTTGAGTTTGAGGGATCTAGGGGGACGAGTACTCTCTCCCCACTAACAGACACCTAAGTTGGAGCCGAATCTCGTAGCCATTGTGTGCTTGAAAAGTTCGTAAATTGCGTGACATGTTTTTCCTTCAGGCGAGCTGAAGAGCGAAACAACAGGCAAATGGATGCGAACCCCGGTATTATAGCCAGGAAGGCGGAGCTTCAGAGGGCGGGCTCGGCATCCATTGGCCTGTTGGGCGTGATTTCAGTTTGCGTCAGGTGAATAAGATTGGTTGTTGACTCCCCATAGTATGTTATACCGAGTGACCGACTGAAAGGGAACTTTCACATATAACTCTCACATGTGGAATTGTATTTGAACATATGAAAAACGTTAATATGTGAAAGTGAAAATTCGATTTTCACGTGAAAAACTTTCAAATGTTGTCATGTGTAGTTTCATGGTATCACATGTTAACATTTTGCATCCCCATGTTGTGACATTTATTTCACGAGATCATGTTTTCACGTGCTCAAATGTTTTCACATGTGTAGTTTCATGTTATCACATTTATTTTACATGTTGTCACATTAACTTCCCATAAGATCACATGTGATCACATGTTAAACACGTGATCACTTGAAATTCATGTGGTTTTTCCGTAAGAGCGTTAACATAAGTGACTATTTCATTGCGGGGCCTGTAGTCACACTAATCCAGAGGTTTAATTTGTATCATTGGGATCACAGCGCCCCTTGCTGAGCTTCAAATCCCGAACTCAGTGTCACACACACACACACCCAAACAGGGATTCTAAACTAAGGTGACCATGATCTAAAGTCAGTCTTTTCTCTGGTTAATATTAGGAGTTGGGGAGGGTAGACTGATCCTAGATATGTGCCTAAGGGCAGCTGCTACCCAGAGAGACTCACCCTGGGTGTATCTGGACAGTCTCAGGACATGCTGAGGAGTCATGCTGTCCCCAGGCCTAAGTTCAGCCACCTCCTCATGCTCTACCGCCTTCTCTCCTCCTGAGATGAACCCGTTCCACTCCTCCATGCCCCGTCGTTCTGTCCTCGACTCCGTCTCTTTCTCCTCCTCATCTTCATCCTGCTCCTCTTCTTCTCTACTCTCTGGCGTGGTTCCTTCTCCCTCGTTCTCCATTTGGCCTGCTCTCACTGACAGGTCTTTGCCAATTCCTCTTTATTCCACAATACACTGGTCTGCATGGCTCTCTTTCTTCACTGTCTGTGTGTCTTGATGGGATAGGATGGTTGTCCTTCTCACCCGGTGTACAGAGCCAGTGAATTTGTGTGATAATCCATACCTCGCACACCCTCAGTGTCAGTGACTCAAACAGATTAGGTCAATCTCAGGTCGGTAATCTGAGCCAATCCCTAATTAAATACGGACACAGTGGCTACAGGAGGGAAAAACAATAGAGGGAGAGTAGGAGAGTTGAAATGATAGAAAAGAGGACTAAGATGAAAGGGAGAGAAAAGGACGTGATCGACTGAGAGCTTTAGAGGGAAGCAGTTTCTTTTTACTGTTTGTTCAAACAATGTAATTTACACATTCTGTATGTTTATACATTCATCATCTATGGAAAATAGTTTTACAGATGACCATGATGGTGTTAAAAGATTCCCATAATGTGTACTGGATCATTTATTTGTTAAGCAGGCATTATGAATAATCAGTAGGTTTAAATCACTTCACATTATGAGTAAAGTGTTTGACATCACTGTTGACCTCAATGGCAAAAAAACGAGAATGATGGACTTGAATACTATCTGTCTCTTTTCTCGTCCAACGTCCATTTATCACTCTTTGAATCTGCAACCTGTGAAATGAATTTAGTCAACAGGAAGCGGGGTGTAGCTCATGTTTTTATTCCAAACTGCCATCTGAGGGGACTGAGCCATGGAGGATGGAGGCGGGGCCATGTCATACCACATCCTGCTCACCCTCCAACCTGCACCTTATAGCTCTGTTGCCATGGTAATCAAACGGACAGTTTCCTCATGTCAACTTAGAGTGGGTGGCTTGTGGTTTGAGGTATCCCATGGGGCCATAGGGCAGGGTGCGATGACGAGAGGCGCCGCAGAAGTGGAAGTCACGGGTAAAGGGGAAGAGGCAGTGAGATGAGATAGCTGGGCAATTAGGTACGTGTACTTTTCTGTTTATTTGCATAGATCTTTTATTATCCATGTTGGGCAGAGTTATTGGTCTCCAATTGTGTGGAATCGCTAGATGTCCAACTTTTCCATTGAGAACTGACAGCTTACTGAGTATGAGACTGAGTGACATTGGGAAGCAGTGGGAGAGTGTTCAAACGTGTGCTACAGTACTACAAGCAGAACAAAGTCATCTGATTAGCTGGATGCCTCTCTCTCATTTTCTCTCGCTCTCTCTCTTTCTTTATTTCTCATTCTCTTTCTCTCTCCCTCTCTCTAGTACTCTCTCTCTCTCGCCCACTATTTCTATCATTCTCTGTCCCTCTCTTTCTCGCACACAGACATGATGAGAGTCACTCTGATTTCCCTCGCCATGTGCCTTCCTCGCCTCCTCGCCACTCCTGTCCTCCATTCCACCACTGCGGTTTCACCGAGCGCCACTGAAATCACAACAACATCTCTAGACCTTAGGATCCGCACTACAACGTCAGACCCCCTGAAGCTTCCACTCTCCACAACTGAAAACCACCCTGGTAGGACTAGTGGCACGTTCAACACACAAGTGAAGAAAAGCGCTAGCTTAGCAGCTGTCAACAACTCAAGCAGAACGACTCAAGGAAGAGGCATTCTCAGAACAGGAACTGCCACTTACGTCACCACAGCCGGACAGAAGAGCAACAGGCACACAACTGCAGGAGACTTGAGGAGGGAAACAGAAAGCTACATTCACCATGAGACTCTACCCTTCAGCGGACACACAGCCTCACCCACAACTGACCACCCCAGCACCACCACTCTCCCCGGGGAGGAAGGGACTGAGTATCATGACAGCAGCACCACTGAAACAGCCAGAGAATTTAACACACCAAATTCCATAGAGACATGGGCTGCTGACACCAGTAATGACTCCAGGCTAGCGAAGCCACATTTAGACAGGTCACAAGCAGCAGACCAGCACACTGCTACACAAGGACTAGAGATGGCAAGTGTAGATACTGCATCAGGAGATTACTACACAACACAGAGAGACTTCTTCACAAACACCCCAACTAATAGAGTGACAGGTTTGAACAGAGGTAAACAAAGTAAGGCCAACAGCGTCACAACAACAACAACAACGGTTTCACCCACGTACACATTCACACTTCCTGGTTTGTATGAGCACATTACCGTGACTTACAGGGCTACTGGCTACAAAACACAACCTGACGACAGGAGCCAGTCTATGGACAACCAGGACCACACCACAGCCACAGTTTCAATCCCCCATGCTGACAATAGCACAACTCCATATCCCAATGCAAACACATTTACAGATAATGTCACAGACAACTACACAATCACACTTTCATACAGTAATACCACAACCTCTAATAATCGTAACACAACAGTACTTTTGAATAAGAAAACTCATGCTCATTCACTCAGACACAACCACACAATCTCAGGCTATGACAACAGGCTGAACAACACAACTGAAAACACTGTGCATGCTCGTCCTGAGTGCGGAGAGGCAGATGAAAGGTCCCCATCGTTGCTTCCTGGCTCTACTAGACTGGTATGTTTCATTGTTCTGTGGGCTCTGGGATTGACTGCTTTGGTCTTCCTTGGTCTCACTGTCTTCCTGTGGGTGCGTTTGTCAGTCCAGAGAGTGAGAGAAAGGAGAGTGAGGAGAGGAGGAGAGAAGGTGTCAGGGGTGGATCTGGAGAACCTGTGGGTTGACCAGATGTCATCGGTGGAGGAGAGGGTGGAATTCTGGTACGCCAACGGCTCCACCATGGGACCTGACCATAAACGGAGCGAGAGAGGGAGGGAGAGAGAGAGGGACAGGGTGAAGGAGAGGGAGAGGAGGGAGCAGCAGAGGCAGAAAGGGAGAGAGTGTGACAACCTGTGGACTCAACCCAAAGTGACACTGGAGGACATCACAGATTTCTGGTATACAAATGGAAGAGTGATACCAGAAGAAACTAAAGACCAAACATTGTTGGAGATGCATATTATTTAGTTTTTTTGTACTACAGTACTACAATTTACCTGGAATTACTTTGGAGAGAAATATTCATCATTATTTTAACAATTCCATGGTAGATTTGAACACTGTAATCCTGACAGAGTTTAAACATTTACAGTATAAATTCATAATCTGTATGTTTTTTGGCTGTAACAAAAGTATAAGATCTACATAAGTCTACTGAAAGACAGATTAGGCCTGGGTCTGATCAGAGAGAAAGAAGTGGACAGAGAGAGAGAAAGAGAGAGAGGAATGGAGAGAGAGATTAGAACAACATGTCTAACTGGAAAGAACACTTGAAAAGAGAGTTCCCATTTTAAGACAATTCAGACCTTCTTAGAGTCATATCATCATCGTGTGTCAGACCGCAATGAGGCGAAAGGTGCCATTTCTACAAACACACTGACACAAATACTGTTGACTCCTAATACTGTACATGCACTGTTATTAGGAGCTAGTCAAATAAAAAGGATTGGTGAACTGCACTGGGCGTAAACAACTTAGCTTAATTTATCTGACTGACCACGTTTACATGCACAAAGTATTCCAGGAATTAGTCATATCCTAGTTAAGGTCTTATTTGAGATAAACTGTTTAAAGACACCTTTGATATCCTGCATACTAGTATCCCTGTATAAACAGAATATTCCTACGTTTATCCATGATACTATGCGAAACTGAGCCTGTACAAACCATGTAAAACAACAGTAAACGGAATAATGCCACAGTATCCTGTCTATGATCAGTATATCCCAGGCATGTTAACTGGGTTTCTCATAACCGGGACACAAGCTTATTCGGGTTATTGTGAACGGGATATGATGTTTATATTCGTCAACTAAAAAACGGAATACTTGAGTATCCCAAATAATAACGGAATATTGCTGTGCATGTGAACATAGTAATTTATCAGGAATAGACTATAGGCCTACCTCATAATTGATAGTGGATCGGGCCATTTGATCAATACTGTATAACTGTACAGTAGAAAATCTATCCTTGTAGAATTTAACACCTGACCAGCTGAAGTTTGACATATAATGTCCCAAGACGTGAGAACAAAATGGACTGACATACAGTGAGGGAAAAAAGTATTTGATCCCCTGCTGATTTTGTACGTTTGCCCACTGACAAAGACATGATCAGTCTATCATTTTAATGGTAGGTTTATTTGAACAGTGAGAGACAGAATAAAAACAGAAAAATCCAGAAAAACACATGTCAAAAATGTTATAAATTGATTAGCATTTTAATGAGGGAAATAAGTATTTGACTCCTCTGCAAAACATGACTTAGTACTTGGTGGCAAAACCCTTGTTGGCAATCACAGAGGTCAGACGTTTCTTGTAGTTGGCCACCAGGTTTGCACACATCTCAGGAGGGATTTTGTTCCACTCCTCTTTGCAGATCTTCTCCAAGTCATTAAGGTTTTCGAGGCTGACGTTTGGCAACTCGAACCTTCAGCTCCCTCCGCAGATTTTCTATGGGATTAAGGTCTGGTGACTGGCTAGGCCACTCCAGGACCTTAATGAACTTCTTCTTGAGCCACTCCTTTGTTGCCTTGGCCGTGTGTTTTGGGTCATTGTCATGCTGGAATAACATTCCACAACCCATTTTCAATGCCCTGGCTGAGGGAAGGAGGTTCTCACCCAAGATTTGACGGTACATGGCCCCGTCCATCGTCCCTTTGATGTGGTGAAGTTGTCCTGTCCCCTTAGCAGAAAAACACCCCCAAAGCATGATGTTTCCACCTCCATGTTTGACAGTGGGGATGGTGTTCTTGGGGTCATAGGCAGCATTCCTCCTTCTCCAAACACGGCGAGTTCAGTTGATGCCAAAGAGCTCAATTTTGGTCTCATCTGACCAAAACACTTTCACCCAGTTCTCCTCTGAATCATTCAGATGTTCATTGGCAAACTTCAGACGGCCCTGTATATGTGCTTTCTTGAGCAGGGGGACCTTGCGGGCGCTGCAGGATTTCAGTCCTTCACGGCGTAGTGTGTTACCAATTGCTTTCTTTGTGACTATGGTCCCAGCTGCCTTGAGATCATTGACAAGATCCTCCCGTGTAGTTCTGGGCTGATGCCTCACCGTTCTCATGATCATTGCAACTCCACGAGGTGAGATCTTGCATGGAGCCCAAGGCCGAGGGAGATTGACAGTTATTTTGTGTTTCTTCCATTTGTGAATAATCGCACCAACTGTTGTCACCTTCTCACCAAGCTGCTTGGCGATGGTCTTGTAGCCCATTCCAGCCTTGTGTAGGTCTACAATCTTGTCCCTGACATCCTTGGATAGCTCTTTGGTCTTGGCCATGGTGGAGAGTTTGGAATCTGATTGATTGATTGCTTCTGTGGACAGGTGTCTTTTATATAGGTAACAAGCTGAGATTAGGAGCACTCCCTTTAAGAGTGTGCTCCTAATCTCAGCTCGTTACCTGTATAAAAGACACCTGGGAGCCAGAAATCTTTCTGATTGAGAGGGGGTCAAATACTTATTTCCCTCATTAAAATGCAAATCAATTTATAACATTTTTGAAATGCGTTTTTCTGGATTTTTTTGTTGTTATTCTGTCTCTCACTGTTCAAATAAACCTACCATTAAAATTATAGACTGATCATTTCTTTGTCAGTGGGCAAACGTACAAAATCTGCAGGGGATCAAATACTTTTTTCCCTCACTGTAATAAAATGGGATTTTCATCACACTCTCTCTACTATGAATTCTCACGTTTTGACAACCTACGCCCTTTGACTGCCCGCCCCACACACACGCACACACAAACACAAACACACACACATACACATGTGCACACACCGTCAAACACAAACACATCCAAGTAGGCCAGTGTGTAGGCGTGCAAACACACCCTGGCTCAAACATTTCAACACACGCAGCTTCTTCTCTTTGTAGGGCCAACTTCTCCTTTTTCCTCGATAAAATAAGCACATGACGCAATAAACAAACTGAAGCTACTCTTTAGTTACTTGGCATCTCTCCAACCCCACCTATCTCTCTTTTGCAGTTACCGAAACTGTTTTACAAATAATTTGATGCTCTGAGGGGAAGAGATAGAGATAGAGAGAGAAAGGGAGGGGGGAGAGAAAGAAGGGAGTTAACAGGAGGGAGGGAGGGACGGAGGACGAGAGTGAGAGAAAGGTGTTTCGTATATGTACTAGTGCACGAGACGTCATCCACACAGTACAGGAGTTAAAGCCTGTGCCTTTAAGGTGGATTCATAATTTCAACCCAATCGTTTTCTCCAAGCAACATGTCGGTAAGTAAGATTAAAAAATATAATCAAATGACACACATTACATACACCTTAGCCAAATACATTTAAACTCAGTTTTTCACAATTCCTGACATTTAACCCTAGTAAAAATTCCCTGTCTTAGGTCAGTTAGGTTCACCACTTTATTTTAAGAATGTGAAATGTCAGAATAATAGTAGAGAGAATGATTTATTTCAGCTTTGATTTCTTTCATCACATTCCTAGTGGGTCAGAAGTTTACGTACACTCAATTCGTATTTGGTAGCATTGCCTTTAAATTGTTTAACTTGGGTCAAACGTTTCGGGTAGCCTTCCACAATAAATTGGGTGAATTTTGGCCCATTCCTCCTGACAGAGCTGGTGTAACTGAGTCAGGTTTGTAGGCCTCCTTGCTCGCACATGCTTTTTCAGTTCTGCCCACACATTTTCTATAGGATTGAGGTCAGGGCTTTGTGATGGCCACTCCAATACCTTGACTTTGTTGTCCTTAAGCCATTTTGCTACAACTGTGGAAGTATGCTTGGGGTCATTGTCCATTTGGAAGACCCATTTGCGACCAAGCTTAAACTTCCTGACTGATGTCTTGAGATGTTGCTTCAATATATCCACATAATTTTCCTTCCTCATGATGCCATCTATTTTGTGAAGTGCACCAGTCCCTCCTGCAGCAAAGCACCCCCACAGCATGATGCTGCCACCCCCGTGCTTCATGGTTGGGATGGTGTTCTTCGGCTTGCAAGCATCCCCCTTTTTCCTCCAAATATAAAGATGGTCATTATTGCCAAACAGTTCTATTTTTGTTTCATCAGACCAGAGTACATTTCTCCAAAAAGTACCATCTTTGTCCCCATGTGCAGTTACAAACCGTAGTCTGGCTTTTTTATGGCGGTTTTGGAGCAGTGGCTTCTTCCTTGCTGAGCGGCCTTTCAGGTTATGTCGATATAGGATTAGTTTTACTGTGGATATAGATACTTTTGTACCTGTTCCCTCCAGCATCTTCACAAGGTCCTTTGCTGTTGTTCTGGGATTGATTTGCACTTTTCGCACCAAAGTACATTAATCTCTAAGAGACAGAACGCGTCTCCTTCCTGAGCGGGATGACGGCTGCGTTGTCCCATGGTGTTTATACTTGCGTACTATTGTTTGTACAGATGAACGTGGTACCTTCAGGTGTTTGGAAATTGCTCCCAAGGATGAACCAGACTTGTGGAGGTTTACAAAAAACAATTCTGAGGTCTTGGCTGATTTTTATTTATTTTCCCATGATGTCAAGCAAACAGGCACTGACTTTGAAGGTAGGCCTTGAAATACATCCACAGGGACACCTCCAATTGACTCAAATTATGTCAATTAGCCTATCAGAAGCTTCTAAAGCCATGACATATTTTCTGGAATCTTCCAAGCTGTTTAAAGGCAGAGTCAACTTAGTGTATGTAAACTTCTGACCCACTGGAATTGTGATACAGTGAATTCTAAGTGAAATAATCTGTGTGTAAACAATTGTTGGAAAAATTACTTGTGTCATGCACAAAGTAGATGTCCTAACCGACTTGCCAAAACTATAGTTTGTTAACAATAAATTTGTGGAGTGGTTGAAAAACGAGTTTTAATGACTCCAACCTAAGTGTATGTAAACTTCCGACTTCAACTGTATGTCTGATCTAAACAGACACTGATCTGGATAATAATAGACAGATTATGGCTTTGTGACGGTGACTGTTTGAGGAGGCAAGAAAAAGGAGGGAGAGATGTTTCGAAAATACAATCAGATGTACTTTCATAGGCTTGTGTTAAATGTACTGACATGCTCTTGTAGTAAGAGGGACCTCCAAATGTATCGCTTCATAATTATTTTTAAATGCATTTTTAAATGCTATTTTCTTTAAATACGTTTTTTTTAATCAATCGGTCTTTGAGTCTTCATCTTTTATCATTTTCTTTTTTATTATTATTTTTAAGACAGGCCAACTTACTTTTAGACCCCCCCCCCCCCCAATTATATTATAAATAACAGTCAAATGGATGGTGACATCGTGGACAAGAATAAACAAGAAGAAGTAGTGTTGGTAACGTCAATAATTTTCAGGTGTGTACTAAGCAAGCATTTTACATCTACAGCGGTCCAGACAGTGGATGCTGTGAGGAGTACGTGTGGGAATGTACGCATAAAATAACCTCTCCATTCCGTCTTCCATTTCTTCCTTTACCCTATAATCTGTCCTTTTCTCTATAGGTCTCATGCTTTTTTGGGTTCACCGTTGCTGCAATCTCTCACGCTGCACTTGAAATAGACAGCTGATATACAGAAAAGTAGAGTGGCGTGCAGGGGAGGAGGAAAGCGGAAGGACGAGAGAGGAAGAGAAGGGTTGTGTCTTTCCGGCCTATTTGCACCCAAGTACAGCCTAGTGAACCACAAGCCCAGCAACCAGGACAGACAGCAAGAAAACAAAGTCAAACCATCGATTATTAACAAGAGCATTAACAAGAGCAAGGCCTGAACGAAAGGGAAATTCCGAGAGCAGTGAAGATCAAAGCCTGACACTCAATCGTAGTCAAACCAATAACCCCGGTGGCTGATGACGGATTCTAGAATGTACATTTTTCTGCTCTAGTCTTGTAAAACAAACTTCCAATACCTTTCAAGCCACAACGCTGTCGCTGACTCACCTCAGAGAGAGGAAGACAAACGTAATCTGAGAGAGATCAGCAAAACCCTTCAGGGACGGTTGACCTCTGTGACCCCTCTCAGTTCTTTCCCAGTATGGAGCGGATACGGCTGATGCTCGGGGCTCTGCTCCTCTCCCTTTCTCTGCCCAGTCTCCCTGCCCAAGATAATGTCACCGTCACCGTACCTGAGAATGTCACCATGGCAGCACCTACTACTGAGGACGTCACGATTGCAGCCTCTACACCTGAGACCACCATCGAGACAATGACTTTTCATTCGGTCGTCGCCACGGCACAGCCCGCCACTGAAGTCATCACCCCAGTAACTTCTGTTCCAGTACATACCACTGATCCCATCACTATGGTAATAACAGACCCTGAGACCACCACCGGTCAGGTGGGACCTCCAACTTCTACTTTAGAGTTTGAGATGATGACACCTTCCCATGTGACCACTGAAGGGCCTGTAGATACGACCACTCCACCTGGCCCTAAACCCACACTCTCCCAAGACGTCCTGATGACCGCCTCTTATCTCCCAACCACTTCCCAGGACCACCTGACTTCTGTTATCCCAGTCTGGCCACTCCACACCACCCCTCGTCTGACAGAGGACTCCTCTCCTACACCTGAACCTATCCACACTGCCTCAGAGAGTACTGCCAGCCACACAGAGGGACTTACCACTGCACCTGCCTCCCCATCGGTCAACGCCGCTCCCGGCCATGCCACGACCCCCACTACCACCCACACCTCCACCTCCACAGATCCAGACTCTACAGTGGCCGAGGTCGTGGTGGAGCGAGGTCAGCCCAACTTGTTCTGGGTCATCATCGTTGCTCTCCTGGTTGGGGTTATATGCACCGGCATATTCTACTGCGTATGTCTGATCGTCAGACGAAAGAAGCAGAGCCGCACCGTGAACTTTGAGTCCAGCTTCCGGAATGGGACGAGTTCCAAGCGGAAGAAAGGGGCGGAGGAAGACGCCTGGGCGGGGCCAGTGAAGTTAGGGGGCGGGGACAGGGAGGAGGGTGAGGGCGGGGAGGAGGGAGGGAGCCCAGAGGACAACAAGACAGAGGGGGCTGGAACGGATGTGGTGCTGAGCACATTCATAGCCAAAGAGACTGAGGAAGAGAGGGGTGGGCCTGATGGGGGAGTAGGAGTGGCTGGGAGCAAGGAGGCGGAGAAATGGGAGGAGGAGGAGCCTCTGCTGTACATTGATGAGGGAGTGTAGGAGGGGCTAGAGAGGATAGCTGCTCCTTCACTCTCAAAATCTAACTCTGAGAAAAAGAGAGGAGGGGGGCAACGGAGAGGGGGAAAGTGAAAAATAAATGGAGAGGGGAGAAGGGAGAAGGGAATGGACAGAAAGAAAATGAGAGTGAGAGAGGGGAGCAGAATGGAGGAGCTGCATTCTGTCTAACCACTGCAGTTTAAAAATAGAACAGTGTTCCAGGAAGGTTTTTCTAGGTGATAATTGTAAAAGTGTTTGATATTTTTGTACTACTGAAAAGGCCTTTGACATTGTATGTATGTTCTGTCAACATAACATGGTTTTACCCGTTGTATTTTGTGTGGTGCTTTTTCTTAATCATTTTTTTGTTTAATAAAGTTTTAGGATGTGCAGAGAGCATGTTCTAGAATGAAGTTGTTGAACTTGACTGAATGAATACTTTTTGCTTAACAATTTGCAGTCTTCAAATTCACTTTATTTCTGGAACTGCTTGAATCAATAGCACTCAATTCATAGGGGTGAATCTTAACTTCTACTAAGTCGAATTCTCACTTAGTCTCCCATTGACATCAATGCATGATTAAGTGAATATTCAACTTCAGTGGAAGTTAGGATTTGTCCCATAGTTTAGGCTTTGTTTACTTGATTTGATATGTGTTGCTGATTATGGCCACTAGGTCGTGCCCTTTCCCTATCTTTATGATCAGAGAACAGTTAAACTATGTGACCTGCAGTAAAGAGCGTGGTGACACACAGGTCTTCTGTTCTACTGGCCTGCTTTTTCTCAGTTGCATCTGTTGCAAACATCTAGCAGAAAAACAACAGGTACCTCAAGCAGAGATCAAACACAGTTTTTCAGTCAAAAAACGAAGTCAGGGAAAACCCTCTGATGTGATCACACATGAAATCTAGAGATACAACAACCGCTTTTACTAAGATTGATCACTGTAAAGGCAATGTCTTTGGTAGGAAATGTTATGTGTGTAAGCCAAATGTTCAATTTTATCCTGGTCAAAACTCCACTACACCCCTCAACCTCCCTCGACCAAATGTTCAGGAAGGGGAGGAAGTGCGTGTGTGTGTGTGTGTTGGGGGAGGGGGGGGGGACAGGTGGGGAGGGGGGGTGTATAACCAACAGAATCATAGGAAATAGAGAGACAAAAATCTAAAACTATGGGCAAACAAAATGCCTGAAATGGTCTCTCTGCTCTGCTGAATAGGTATAATCTCCAAAGAGAAGGTGGAAGGAGAGAGAGCGATAGAGAAGAGGAGGGAGAAGAGAATGTGTGAGAGGGAGGATGAGGAGGAAAGAGCGGTGTGAGGAAGCAAAAAAGAGAGGGGAGGAGAATAGAGAGAGATAGTGGTGAGAGAGGAAGGACGAGATGAGGAGAGGAAGGAGCGGTGAGGAGGACCGGCAAAAATTATGAGGGGAGGAGGAGAGAGAAGAGAGGAGACGAGAGAGAGAAATAAGAGTGGCAACAACAGTCACATCTGGAAGTTATTGGAAAGTAGAGAGAGCAAAGGAGAGAAAGAAAGATAACTATTGTAATAGAAAAGATAGAAGAGTCAGAGGCAGAAAGGATGAACAAACTCTAGATGTAGGGATAGACTTATTAAACGTATCAACTGAGCTAGAGATTTACGGGAGGACAGAGTTTATCTAAAAGTTGACAAGAATTATACAGTGGACAGAGAGAAAGGAACAGAGGAAACGAAAGAGAGAAAAAAAGAAAGAAAGAAACTGGAATTCTATCCTAAGAACAATCCATACCAAGAGGGGAGGATGACAAAGAGGTAAAACTCAAATGTAGCTTTCTAATCTGGAGGACCGTTCAAAACAGAACAAAGCATCTGTTATTGAAATTAAATCAACTCGCCAAAGGAGAAGAGTCAAGAGAACAAAAGAGGAGACCCCTAGTCTGGAATTCTTCTACTCATTTGTCTGTCTATCAAGCCTGTGAGCCAACCGTCAGACAGGTACAGTAGGCTTCATTAACATACACACACACACACATATGTTAAAGGTCTTAGCCATTGCTGATATGCCTTGTCTGTGTGCATGAATCCTAGTAATGGCACATATTGATTAATGATAAATTGGTTGTGTAAGACTGAGGCTAATTTATATTTCATATAATTTACATCAGAACTTAAGCCAAAGTAGTTATTTTCTTCTTCTGTAGGTCTGCCTCCAGTTATGTCCATTCTAAGTGTTGAACAAGTAAAATGCATTTGCATTGTTCACACTACTAACATCAATGTCGTTTTTCTTGATCAAGAATTGTTCCCCATTTTCAAAGACCGCCTCTTATTGTACATCTATTAACAAAAGAAGCACTCCTCTGTTTCATTCTGTTCTAAGTATTTTGAAGTCTATTCTACCACACTATTCTGCCCTCTGGCATCAGCATGCCTTTAGAATGAGCTCTACTTCCAGTCGTGTTATGAGTCATGTTTATCCTGTCTGTGGCTGGTCATGGTAACCTTCCACGACCGCCCCACATGAGTTCAATTAGCACGCACACACACACACACAATTAGCAGTCCAGCAGGAGAAGGGAGGTTCCTTCCTGTCCGCTCCGACAAGCTGACTTCCTGTGTGTGGAACAGGTCACTAGATTCCACCACAGTGACTGTGTGACTTATTAGACCCCCTCCGGAACACAGGCTAGGGAACAAGTCCACCATACACACTGTACTGGCTGGCTAAGAACACTACAACCCCCCCCCCCCCCCCCCCCCCCCCCACACACACACACACACAACTAACCACAGACACACCATATAAATACCTTTACAAGTAAACTAACCACAATATACAAAACCATCTGCCACCACAACCACACCTCGAATGTGCTGTATGCCCAAGGTATACTTGAGTAGAATTAAGTAGATTAAACTTCTCAAGTCTTGTCTTGAACTTGTTATAACCTAATTAGCTTGAACTTGATATTAGTATATCGAATACTTTGTTCTCTCTCTGTCAGGATGTCAGCCTCTCGGAGGTGCCTGTGCTGCGTGAAATACCTCATGTTCGTCTTCAACCTCATCTTCTGGGTCAGTACCTTTACATCTCTGTCCTTTGGTATGCCTCAGTCATTTAAATTAATGACATACAGTACGGTACACCCATTGATTGAATCTTGAAGAATATAGCTTACCAAACAAAGTGGGAGGGTCAGGCTATTGAAATCACAGATTGGGCTTTTAAGCTCCAATTCCAGTTCTGATCTGTTTCTGGTCTTTGTCTAGTCCTGTTTGTGTGGTTCTATTACGGTGTTATTCTAGCTCTCTGCTTGTCCTGTTCTGGCTCAGTGCTGGTCTGTTTTGGTCTATTCCATTCTACATACTTACATAACATAAGAGATTGTAAATTCTGGTCTTAAACTAGTCTGATTCCACTCTGGCCTTGTTCTAGTTTTGTACTGGTTTTTCTGTGGTCGTGTGTCTTTTATGGTGAAGTTTGGTCTCTTTATTTGTCTCCCAAATTAATATATTTGTGATTCCAGATAAACGTGAATACGACCTTAGGCTGGGGAACAAGTTCACCATGCACCACATGTCATTTACAGTATTGGCTAACAACACTAGGAATTAGATACAAACTCTGAATTAGATGTCATAACGGGCCATGGAGTAAAACATTTTTTTAAAGGGTCACAAAGTGGAAAAACACATGATAAAGCCTCTGGTTGGCGCCACCAAGACATAAAACTACACTACAATAACTCTGGACATATGTTAGTTGGTAGGAACATATGGAAACACGCTCAACAGTAAGACTCCTGCCAAATCTCTACTTATGTAGGTCAAGCAGGCAGCATTGATGATTTCGCTCTGTTTTAGCTTTTTATAACACAGGGTAGCCTGGTCCCATCTGTAAGTGCTTTTACACATGTAAACACATACAGATCTGGGACCAGTCATAACTTGGTACCTTTCCTATGTCCTTCTAACTATGGAGGCAACTATTTCTGACAGTTCACTCGAAAATATAAGTTTGTCCGACAAATAGATTACTTTTGAGGACTGAAAACATGGGTCAAACTTTGATTTTGGAATGAACTACCACTTTACGTATTGGGATTCACCCTAAGTCACCTTTTGTGTCTCCTGTCTCCTCTGTAGCTGGGAGGGTGTGGCCTGTTTGGAGTGGGAGTGTGGCTATCATTCACCCAGTCCGAGTTCTCCTCCCTCCCGCTGTCTTTTCCCTCACTCTCCGCAGCAAACCTACTTCTGGTCGCTGGGGGCGTCACCATGGTGACAGGCTTCCTGGGTTGCCTTGGCGCCCTGAAGGAGCAGCGTTGCCTGCTGATGACGGTGAGTCCCCATGACATCACAAAACATGGGTCAACCTCAACCATGTTAAATACCTTTACAAGTCAACTCACCACAACACACAAAACCACATACACACGCACAGGTCCAAAGGATGAAATATCTCTTCAATCTCTTCTAACCCATCCCTCTCTCCCATCTCTCTGTCTTTCCCATCCCCCTCTCTCTCTCCCTCCCTCCCCACAGTTCTTTGTAATCCTTTTGCTCCTAGTCTTGACAGAGGTGACTCTAACCCTGGTCCTCCATATCTTTCACAACGAGGTGAGTCCAGTCTACCATCCATCTATAACCCTCCTCGCCACTCACAAAGATCCAGTTTCACCCAATAATGTTTAACAACCCCAAAAGGGGGTCATTAGTAAAGTTTTACCACTATATTATAACTAAATGAACAACCAGTGTAAAAAATTATATACTGACACAGAGGTTGAGGCAGAAGACAAAGAGGTGATACAGTCATCTACATTCTAGAAGTCTTCTGTACATCTACATTATCCACTACATCTGTCTCATATGCTGCAACTATATCAAGGCCCACACTTCACATCCTTCTCTCTCTCTTTCTCTCTCCCTCTCCATCCCTTCTTTCAGCTGGACACAAAAGCGCAGGATGAGTTAAAGGAGGGGATGAAGGATTACTTGACAGACGAAGGACTGAAGAAGTCATGGGACAATGTGCAGAAAATGGTTAGAGGGGGGATGGGGGTTAGGGGAAACCCAACCAAATCCCTAGTCTGTCACCTTATATGGTCCCTGTGTTGTTCCGTGTATGTTTAGTGGATTTTAGTGATAAATCACTAAACTGACTGACGGTTGATAGTAAGAACTTACACTGAGTACACAAACATTAAGAACACAGGCTCTTTCCATGACATAGACGACCAGGGGAATCCAGGTGAAACGATCTTATTATGACTTGTTTTACTAAATCAGTGTAGATAAGGGAGGGCCGGTTAAAGAGATTCAAACATGACATGTGTGTAGATCGACAAAAGGTGAATCCTAAGTGGCAGAAACTGCATTACAACTAACCGTCCTGTGTATAGGGTATCAGCACTTGCACACTTGGGAAGTATTGGAGTCAACATGGGCCAGCATCCCTGTGGAATGCTTTTGACACCTTAGTGTGGTCCCGTGTACTTCAGTTGGTAGTGCATGGAGCTTGCAATGCCAGGGTTGTGGGTTCGATTCCCACAGGGGACCAGTATTCCCACAGGGGGGGGGGGGGGGGGGGGGGGGGGGGGGGGCAACTCATTATTAGGAAGGTGTTCCTAATGTTTGGTATACTCAGTGTATGTAATTGGGTTGCCAAATCTATATTGTCCACAAATCAATTGAACTGTGCTGTTGCCCTCTGCTTGTTCATTGTTGTCAGTTTACAACAGATTAAGGGCCCAATTCAATTCTGCATAGTAGTTGTTTTGGCGATGTTAGAGGTGTAACTGCATTAGAGCTGTCAAATCCACAAGCAACCCCTCCCTGTTTTTCAACTGGTCGTTCAGTACAGCACAGTTTCCTTTCAATTTCACGTTCTATTACGTTTTGTGTACTGCACGCATCCCAGCTATGCGGGTGTAGGCTATCAATCAATTTCAATCAATCAATTTTATTTTATATAGCCCTTCTTACATCAGCTAATATCTCGAAGTGCTGTACAGAAACCCAGCCTAAAACCCCAAACAGCTAGTAATGCAGGTGTAGAAGCACGGTGGCTAGGAAAAACTCCCTAGAAAGGCGAAAACCTAGGAAGAAACCTAGAGAGGAACCAGGCTATGAGGGGTGGCCAGTCCTCTTCTGGCTGTGCCGGGTGGAGATTATAACAGAACCATGCCAAGATGTTCAAAAATGTTCATAAGTGACAAGCATGGTCAAATAATAATCAGGAATAAATCTCAGTTGGCTTTTCATAGCCGATCATTAAGAGTTGAAAACAGCAGGTCTGGGACAGGTAGGGGTTCCATAACCGCAGGCAGAACAGTTGAAACTGGAATAGCAGCAAGGCCAGGCGGACTGGGGACAGCAAGGAGTCACCACGGCCGGTAGTCCCGACGTATGGTCCTAGGGCTCAGGTCTCTCAGTTGGCTTTTCATAGCCGATCATTAAGAGTTGAAAACAGCAGGTCTGGGACAGGTAGGGGTTTCGTAGCCGCAGGCAGAACAGTTGAAACTGGAATAGCAGCAAGGCCAGGCGGACTGGGGACAGCAAGGTGTCATCATGCCCGGTAGTCCTGACGTATGGTCCTAGGGCTCAGGTTCTCAGAGAGAAAGAGAGAACGAGAGAATTAGAGAGAGCATACTTAAATTCACACAGGACACTGGATAAGACAGGAGAAGTACTCCAGGTATAACCAACTAACCCCAGCCCCCCGACACATAAACTACTGCAGCATAAATACTGGAGGCTGAGACAGGAGCGGTCCGGAGACACTGTGGCCCCATCCGAAGAAACCCCCGGACAGGGCCAAACAGGAAGGATATAACCCCACCCACTCCGCCAAAGCACAGCCCCCGCACCACTAGAGGGATATCCCCAACCACCAACTTACAATCCTGAGACAAGGCCGAGTATAGCCCACAGAGGTCTCCACCACAGCACAAACCAAGGGGGGGGCGCCAACCCAGACAGGAAGATCACGTCCTTAGTGATCATTAAAGGGCCAATCCGCAGTTTTTGATTTTTGTAAATCAGCTAACTTCCTGCATTTCAACACATTTTGCCATGGTGCAGAGTGAAACGTTTGCAGTTTTATAATGCTATTCTACACATTTTGTCTTGAGGCTAAGAGAAAATGTTGCAGTTTTAAAGCTGTTTTATAGCTCTCCACTGGCCATGTTGGTTCAACGTAATTTCATTGAAATGACAGGGAAACAACGTTGATTCAACCAGTGTGTGCCCAGTGGGCCATCTCATGCTTTTGTTCACATTTTGCCATGAGGCTGAGAGAACATTGTGCAGTTTTACAGCTAATTTTCTGCAATTCTACACATTTTGCTATCATATGCTATCTGGGGGCCCCCCGACCTCCAGGGGCGCCCCAAAACCCCCAAAATAAAACATAAAAAACGTTTTTGGGGGGGTTGGGCACGTGCCCTGGATGCCCGTTCGGTAATCCGGCCCTGTCCCCTCTCCTGTTTCAGGAAAAAGCTGAAGGATGGGCTGAAGAAACGTAACCACTCTCAAATTCATAGACAGAGCTATGGATGCCAGAGGGTTGTCCTACGAAGCACGCTAGATCTACTCAGGGTTTTCTAAAGCTAACCAGCTTCAGTTAGCTTCAAATTGCAGGTCAAGCTTCATCCATACTACAATGGTGGATATTGCTCATCCGGCTGCCACTAACTCTGGCAGGCTTGTAACTGCGCGTGCATGACGCAAATGGCTAGTCGAACACCCAACTCTTCATTGAGACAATGCTGAAACATCAATCCATGGGCGAGTCAGTGCCACATTTTCAATTGTGCCGAAATCAAAATGAATAGTTATCTTGCAAATTCAGCAGTGTGAAATAGGCTTTTAGAAGTGCCGTTATTTTATTACTTATTGTTAATGCAGTCTTTGGTGTGCTTATCAATGCACAAACTCCTTTTTTCCCACTCCTATCAATATTAATTTATAAAGTCATACAAAAGTGTTACATTTCGTGAAGTTGCGTTCTGTCATTACTAAATGTGTAATGTGATATTTCAACCAAACATTTTTACATAAAACACTTTCAATAAATAAAACATTTAATCAGTCGACTTCCTCAAATTAAGGGGATGATGACGCAATCTTTGTAAGAGGGAGGGAATCTGGTCCTCAACTCGCGGCTCAGTCATTTCATTCAGGGTAAATGGAGTTAGCCGTGAGTTAGCCTGTCCCGGAGCTGGTTAGTTCTGAAGGATTTGTTGTCATAGAAATGTACCTGGCTAAAAGGTGAGCCACGTTCGTTTGACCGGTTATACCTAGTTGAACTCAGAGTTGACCTAAGTTACCTCCAAACTTCTCAAACCTGCTTCGTAGGATACCCCTCGGAGCTGACCATCCATTGTTTTACTTTATTTACAAACATTGGAGTAAAACAAGCTTATTGGGTGGTTCTGGTGGGGTACGACAGTTGAACTAAGCTCATGAGGCATTTATAAGTTATATTCTTCAAGAATCAATGGCTACATATCATTCATTTATATGTCCAAAAATGGATGTAGCAATTGCAGATTGTCCCTTTAAAGGGACCTTACTTAACCAGAGTCAGCATGCTACTGTAGCTGTTCCAGCCATTGTGCGAACACTAGTTGACATTGGCTCCCGAAACTACCTCTAACTTCCTTAATACTGGACACAGAGACATAAAGTGTCCATGAGTTCATCTGACTCTGCGTAAGTAGAATAAGGGCCAACATCTGGCACAATCCCTTTAAATATCCTTGATTGGCTAGAAAGTTATGTCATGTGCATACAGTATCAGTGAGTCTGAGGGGCTGTGCAGTTGCTGATCCAGGGACACATTTTTTAGGGACACACTCAGGGACACATTTTCAAACAAACAAACTAACAATCTGACAGAGCGAGTCAGAGACCAACAGAGATAATAACAAATATGCATTATTTGTTTCTTAGTTCAAGTGCTGTGGCGTGACCAACAAAACAGATTGGTACCTCGTGATCAACGGAACGCTCCCCTTTTCCTGCTGCTCCGGTGGGATGGACCAATGTGTTGAAGGATGGATCGAGGTCAGACCACTTTTCAAATGTAGGGGGGGATGGGGAGGAGGGAGAGTCAGGGGAGTCGAGGTTCAACAGCCTGCGCACAAGACATTTCCCAGCTGCCTACATGTCTTGCTAACAGAGTCCAGATGTGCGTGTGCGCTCACACTTACAAGAATGTAAAGAATGACCCTGACTGTGACAATACAATTTATTTTCTCGACTGCGTTCTTTATTGCTCTCCTTCTCTCTCACATCTGTCCTCCACTCTTCTCCCCCCTACCCAACCCCCATCTCCCTCTCTGTCCCCCACCTCCCCCCTCCTCTACTGCTCCTTTGCCCTTTTCTCTTCCCCTTTGTCCTCGTCCCTTTCCGTCGTTTCCTCCTCCTCTTCCCTCTCTCAGCCATGTTATCAGAAGGCCAGACAGTGGCTCCTGGACAACATTCTCTCTGTCCTGGTGTTTGGAGTCTGCATTGGCATTGTCCAGGTAACTACCACATATTAATAGATCAATCAATGAATCTCAATAAGCCAGGCTTGTATTCCACCAAACAGAATCATTGTTTGTCAACTAAATTTGATAAACACCCAGATTGAACTTAATTTACATGTTTATAAAGAAAGCTTGAATCTGGGTTATTGAGAATTTTGAGTCTGTTGTGCCATATCTAAACTCAATAAACTAAGAAATATGAGCTCGCTCAATAAACTAAGAAATATGAGCTCAAAACATTGAGTTAAAACATTTAGGAAAGTTATCTGGCAAATAATTCACTTTATATGGTTTTGTGAAATATAGGTCACCATTTTTATAACTCAAATACATTCTCTTGTCGTTTCAGATCCTGGCCCTGATTTTCTCCCTCCTGATGTACTGCCAAATCCTCCGTGCTGAGAAGTACCTGGATTGATCTGGGACTGGTCCTTCACAGACAGGAGAGGCTGAATGAGAGACTCCCTAGCTGGCACAGAAAGCTCATGTAACGTTCCCTATATGTTTAAAAGTGAGCCTTACCAAAGCAAATAAAATGTAAATCCATTGTCATTTGTATGCATGTGAAGTGGTAGTTGTTGTGAACTTGCACATTTTGTAAAATACACTTAACCAAATGTACGAATCTCTGATTATGAATGTGGTAATAGTTGAAACTTGTTTTCCATATTGTGCGTATGAGGTGTTGTCGGTATGAATTCACTTCTCTTATAGTTTTGAGACAAGCGTAAGCTTTCATATACTTATTCAGTCCAATAAACAACTGAAGAGGTCATTGACTTGCAACAGGGTTCATCATTCTAATGAAATATAGATCACATATCATTATAAATGGACTTTCAAAGTATGCTATTAAATTATGATCTCCAGTCATAACACCAAGTAATGAAACCCAAACCAAAACAATGACTACACTGTACACTTTTTTTTTTTTGTAAAACACATTTATAGAAAAACTGATTTAAAAAAAGAATTGTACAAGTACACATGATTCTCAGAAATAAATACAATAGTGGCAAACTTCACGTGTGGTTGTGTAATAAAAAGCTAATGCCTTCTCCGTCTCTCACCACAGGAGAGACTCTGAGGTCATAGGAAGGACCCTGAGTTCTACCTGACCTGATCGGAAACAACTCCAGGCCCTAGTCATAGGTTAGAGTTCATACAGTATTCATGTGTTCACCGCTCAAAGGAAGTAGTGAGGGCTTCCGATTTCCGAGCTGCCTTGACGGTGTAGAGTTGTCAGTCGTACTCTTCCAACTGGACAATAATTTCCTGCAGATGGAAAATGGGAGATGTGGGATTAGAAATTGAGGGACAATCAGCACCAGGTGCCTGCTGTGGTCAGTGACTTCTTCTGCCTCCTGGTGGTTGTGTTTGGAAACACCCTTTAAAACTTTAGAACAGACAGGGGTCGCCAACGTCAACATTTTAATTTGTTTTTAAAATGTTAGCTGACAATGTCACGAAAACGATGCACATGCTTCAATGGGGCTGAAGTCCGTGTGTTGTTGCGATTCTGGATGGCCAGAAGGCTAGCAACAATGACAGGAAGATCCCATGTGGGGAATTGTAGGTGTCTCGTTTCAGCTAGTTTTATCTTGTTCTTGATATCATGTCTTGTTTTGAGGTGTTTTGACTGATGTCACTTCTATGCTAATATGGCCAGAATTCACTAGCTAGCTAACCAACAACACAAAAAGTTCTCATTGTGCAACTTTATTTATGTTTCCAATAAACATTGGAGACAAAATAGTTTACATGTCAACAATCTAAGCGAACACAGTCTGTTTTGCCCTATCGTTGCGCACGTGTCGGTTTTGTTGCTAAACAACCAACCAAACAGGTTACTCTTATCAAATACATGTATATATTCTTGACATATTTAGCTGTTTAGGAGAAATGGAAAACAAAGTAAGCTAAATCTGTTTGAAAAGTTAGGGCTAACTTGCATTTTGCAAAAAAGGATTTAGAGATGAATAGAGAGAGTTCTGATAGGGACAGGGCAGTTGGAGCACTCACCCATCCTCCATGGCTCTCCACCCAGGGGGCAAAGTTCTCCATATAGCGCTCTGCGTAGCCTTGCATGCGCTGCGTCCCTGTCGCCGTGACAACACGCCGCGACACCTCCATGGTGACGGCCACTCGTCTCAACGTGGGGCTGCTGGTGGGCGGTGGCAGAGGTGAGGGCGTGGCCTGTTCCTGGCTGGCGAAGGTGTCCAGGAGCTTGGCAAAGGACGGGTATGATAGACGGGTCAGCTTGGAGCGCAGGAAGGGGTCCGACTGGATCTGGGGGAGGGGGGGGTATGTAGGAGCACACCATACGAGGGTATGTAGTTAGTAAAAGTGAATGTTGTTAGTAAAGGTTAGTAAAGGTGTATGTAGTAAAAAGTGTATGTAGTTACTAAGGGTGTAGGTAGTTAGTAACAGTGTAGGTAGTAAAGGTGTATGTAGTTAATAAATGCATTGTCAGGTGATCTAGATCTACACCAGAAGCCTTACCTTGTAGTTGATGGCGTCCCCTTCCATAGACAGTACCTGGACCAGCTGGCGCACAATTTCTTCTTTGTCAGGTTCTGAGGACAGGAGAGATGGATAGATGGCTAAAAATAGAAAATAGCCATAAAGCAAGATAGCATGTGTGTGTGTTTCCACTCACCAGGGGGAGGTTTGACCGGGGTGGTAGCAGGGCTGGGCCGTGGGCTGGACCTTTGGGGTCTCTTCATACCGTGGGACCGCTGAGCAATCCTGTCCAGAGTCTCAGCCACCTCCTCATAGAACTCAGGAGGGTGTGCTACAGAGCGGGATGGGAGGAGAGAACAGTATGAGCGTATAGCATGGGCCTCCAACTCTGGTCCTGGAGAGCTACTGGATGTTGCAGGCTTTAATTCCAGCTTTTATTCCAAGGCTCTTCAAATCAAATCAATTTTTATTTGCCACATGCACCGAATACAACAGGTGTAGACCTTACAGTGAAATGCTTACTTACAAGCCCTTAAGACTTTTTTTCTTAAAACTGCATTGTTGGTTAAGTAAAAAAAAAAATTAAAGAGCAGCAGTAAAATAAAATAACAGTAGGGAGGCTATATACAGGGGGTACCGGTACGTAGTCAATGTGCGGGGGCACTGGTTAGTTGAGGCAATATGTACATGTGGGTGGAGTTAAAGTGACTAAGAATTGACAATAAACATAGAAGCAGCAGCGTAAAAAAAAGGGGGTAGGGTGGACAATGCAAATAGTCCGGGTAGTCATAATTAGCTGTTCAGGAATCTTATGGCTTGGGGGTAGAAGCTGTTAAGAAGCCTTTTGGACCTAGACTTGGCGCTCCGGTACCGCTTGCCGTGCGATAGCAGAGAGAACAGTCTATGACTAGGGTGGCTGGAGTCTTTGACAATTTCTAGGGCCTTCCTCTGACACCGCCTGGTATAGAGGTCCTGGATGGCAGGAAGCTTGGCCGCAGTGATGTACTGGGCCATACGCACTACCCTCTGTAGTGCCTTGCGGTCGGAGGCAGAGCAGTTGCCATACCAGGCGGTGATGCAACCAGTCAGGATGCTCTCAATGGTGCAGTTGTAGAACTTTTTGAGGATCTGAGGATCCATGCCAAATCTTTTCAGTCTCCTGAGGGGGAATAGGCTTTGTCGTGCCCTCTTCACGACTGTCTTGGTGTGTTCGGACCATGATAGTTTGTTGGTGATGTGGACACTAAGGAACTTGAAGCGCTCAACCTGTTCCACTACAGCCCCGTCGATGAGAATGGGGGCATGCTCAGTCCTCTTTTTTTCCCCTGTAGTCCACAATCATCTCCTTTGTCTTGATCACGTTGAGGGAGAGGTTGTTATCCTGGCACCACACGGCCAGGTCTCTGACCTCCTCCCTATAGGCTGTCTCATCGTTGTCGGTGATCAGGCCTACTACTGTTGTGTCGTCGGCCAACTTAATGATGGTGTTGGAGTTGTACCTGGCCATGCAGTCTTGGGTGAACAGGGAGTACAGGAGGGGACCGAGGGCAACAGAGATTGCAACATCTGTGGATCTGTTAGGGCGGTGTGCAAAATCGAGTGGTTGTAGGGTTTCTGGGATAATGGTGTTGATGTGTCAAAGCACTTCATGGCTACAGACGTGAGTGCTACGGGTCGGTAGTCATTTAGGCAGGTTATCTTAGTGTTCTTGGGCACAGGGACTATGGTGGTCTGCTTGAAACATGTTGGTATTACAGACTCAGTCAGGGACATGTTGAAAATGTCAGTGAAGACACTTGCCAGTTGGTCAGCGCATGCTCGGAGTACGCGTCCTGGTAATCCGTCTGGCCCTGCGGCCTTGTGAATGTTGACCTGCTTAAAAGTCTTACTCACATCGGCTACGGAGAGTGTGATCACATAGTCATCCGGAACAGCTGATGCTCTCATGCATGCTTCAATGTTGCTTGCCTTGAAGTGAGCATAGAAGTGATTTAGCACGTCTGGTAGGCTCGTGTCACTGGCCAGCTTGCGGCTGTGCTTCCCTTTGTAGTCTGTAATAGTTTGCAAGCCCTGCTCAAACAATATTGCTCAAACAATATGGCCACTATGAGCCAATGAGCTTGCATTAAATGTTTTTTCCCCATCCAACAGTGCCACAATGTGGCCAAACTCAACCATACTTTAAAAGTTAGATAGTCTCATGTCCTTGTACATGTGTGCCAAATTTCCTCACTCAAACAGATCAAGCGATATAGAAATGTGCCTGTTATAGCGCCACCATGTGGTTGGCATTTATGTGCGAGACCACACCCATGTGAATGTTTATTGGTCAATAGGTACTAGTTGTTTTAGGTTCTAGTCTGAAAAATATTGCGTTGAGAGACATTGGTCCATAGATGCCACATGTCAAGTTTCATGCAGATTGGTCATTTTAAGTGTTTCTAAATGGCGTAAAATCCATCATGGCGGACCTCATGGGCCCTCATGGGACCTATATACTGAATTTCAGGACTCTAGCTCAAACGGGGTGAGGGGCGTGAGCTTTCAAATTTAGCATTTTCAATTCATGTTAATTTTCCTTGGCGGAAGATGTATAATAATAATAATAATAATAATAATAATAATAATAATAATAATAATAATAATAATAATAGCCAGCAAATACAGTGCATTCAGAAAGTATTTGGACCCCTTGACTTTTTCCACATTTTGTTACGTTACGGCTTTATTCTAAAATGGATTAAATGAAATTGTTTCCCCCCCCCCCCCCCCCCCCCCCTCATCAATCTATACACAATACCCCATAATGACAAAGCAAAAACAGGCTTTTATAAATTTTTGCACATTAATACAAAAAATTAAACTGAAATATCTCATTTACATAAGTATTCAGACCCTTTACTCAGTACTTTGTTGAAGCACCTTCGGCAGCAATTACAGCCTGGAGTCTTCTTGGGTATGATTTGGGGAGTTTCTCTCATTATTCTCTTAAGATCCTCTCAAGCTCTGTCAGGTTGGATGGGGAGTGTCACTGCACAGCTCTTTTCAGGTCTCTCCAGAGATATTCGATCGGGTTAGAGTTCGGGCTCTGGAAGGGCCACTCAAGGACATTCAGAGACTTGTCCCGAAGCCACTCCTGTGTTGTCTTGGCTGTGTGCTTAGGGTCGTTGTCCTGTTGGAAGGTGAACCTTTGCCCCAGTCTGAGGTTCGGAGCACTATGGATCAAGTTTTCATCAAGGATCTCTGTATTTTGCTCTGTTCATCTTTCCCTCGATCCTGACTAGTCTCCCAGTCCCTGCCACTGAAAAACATCCCCACTGCATGATGCTTCTGCCACCACCATGCTTCACCGTAGGGATGGTGCCAGGTTTCCTCCAGACGTGATGCTTGGCATTCAGGCCAAAAAGTTCAATCTTGGTTTCATCAGACCAGAGAATCTTGTTTCTCATGGTCTGAGAGTCTTTAGGTGTCTTTAGGCAAACTCCAAGCGGGCTGTCTTGCGCCTTTCACTGAGGAGTGGCTTCCATCTGGCCACTCTACCATAAAGGCCTAATTGGTGGAGTGCTGCAGAGATGGTTGTCCTTCTGGAAGATTCTCCCATCTTCACAGAGGAACTCTGGAGCCATGTCAGAGTGACCATCGGGTTCTTGGTCACCTCCCTGACCAAGGCCCTTCTCCCCCGATTGCTCAGTTTGGCCGGGCGGCCAGCACTAGGAAGAGTCTTGGTGGTTCCAAACGTCTTCCATTTAAGAATGATGGAGGCGACTGTGTTCTTCGGGACCTTCAATGCTGCAGAAATGTTTTGGTACCCTTGCCCAGATCTGTGCCTCGACACAATCCTGTCTCTGAGCTCTACGGACAATTCCTTCGACCTCATGGCTTGGTTTATGCTCTGACATGCACTGTCAACTGTGGGACCTTATATAGACAGGTGTGTGCCTTTCTAAATCATGTCCAATAAATTGAATTTACCACAGGTAGACTCCAATCAAGTTGTAGAAACATCTCAAGGATGATCAATGGAAACAGGATGCACCGGAGCTCAATTTCAAGTCTCATAGCAAAGGGTCTGAATACTTACGTAAATACGTTTTCTGTTTTTATACATTTGCAAGAACTTCTAAAAACCTGTTTTCGCTTTGTCATTATGGGGTATAGTGTGTAGATTGATGAGGACAATGTTTTATTTAATACATTTTAGAACAAGGCTGTAATGTAACAAAATGTGGAAAAAGTCAAGGGGTCTGAATACTTTCCGAACGCAGAGAAATAGGGTTTCACCCAGCTTCACTGCTTGAACCCGTAATAATAATAAATATAGCTGCAAATAGCAATGCCAGGGTTCAAGTTGTGGGGCCACTGTGCCCCTTTGATGAGCTACCTCATCAGGCTTGCCCAATATCAGAACTCAATATCGAACAGATGTGCTTTTGAGGTATTTTGGACAATTTTTTATGATGTTGACTACTTTAAACATCTTCTCCAGAACCGCTGGACCGATTGGTACCAAATTGGGTCTATGTACCCATGTCTTCAACCGCTAGATTTTCCAGGACTCCAGCTCAAACAATATGGCCACTATGAGCCAATCGCTGCTGAACCCCTAATAAATATGATACTTTGAGGCAAACATTCATTGCTGCCGACCGTTCTGTTCCAAAATGCTTACTGGGAGAGAGGACTGGCGCCACGGGTACTGGCCCTACACCGAAGGTCAGCGTGGAAGGCCTCTCAAGACGCATCTCATCCTTGTCTTTATCCTTTTCTGGCTTCTTTTTTATGCTGAAGAAAGAGGAGATCTGGCTCTTCAACTTCTTCTTCTTTGCCTTTTTCTGATGTTTCGTCTCATTCCCATCTTCCTCTGACGTGGAGGACCCAACGTCTTCCTGAGGTAATAGTAACAATGATGGATAACGTTAGCAATATTTATATATACACATATCATACACACTACCGTTCAAAAGTTTGGGGTCACTTAGAAATGTCCTTGGTTTTGAAAGAGAAGCAATTTTTTTATCCATTAAAATAACATCAAATTGATCAGAAATACAGTGTAGACATTGTTAATGTTGTAAATGGCTATTGTAGCTGCAAACGGCAGATTTTTTATGGAATATCTACATAGGCATACAGATGCCCATTGAATGTTTAGTACCGCCCCCTCTGTTAGTGGGTTGACACTACATGATAATTCTAACATTTATACTGTATTTGGGGTGCAATCCTTTAGTCATTATTCTTAAAATCCAAATTAATCTAACAATCTTGAAGAAGGAAGGTTATCACTCAATTTTGCAACGCCATGCCATACCCTGTGGACGGCGCTTGATTGGAGCCAATTTCCTCCTACAACAGGACAATGACCCAAAGCACAGCTCCAAACTATGCAAGAACTATTTAGGGAAGAAGCAGTCAGCTGGTATTCTGTCTATAATGGCGTGGCCAGCACAGTCACCGGATCTCAAACCTTTTGAGCTGTTGTGGGAGCAGCTTGACCGTATGGTACGTAAGAAGTGCCCATTAAGCTAATCCAACTTGTGAGAGGTGCTTCAGGAAGCATGGGGTGAAATCTCTTCAGATTACCTCAACAAATTGACAACTAGAATGCCAAAGGTCTGCAAGGCTGTAATTGCTGCAAATGGAGGATTATTTGATGAAAGCAAAGTTTGAAGGACACAATTATTATTTCAATCAAAAATCATTATTTCTAATCTTGTCAATGACTACATTTCCTATGCATTTTGCTATATTTCCTATTCAAACTCATTTCATGTATGTTTTCATGGAAAACAAGGACATTTCTAAGTGACCCCAAACTTTTGAACGGTAGTGAACATATCATATAATGTATAAGAACAGATAATCACAGCTTTTTCTATATCACAACCACATTCCACAACTTATTACAATCCATAGATTTTTTCTAGAATTCACAGGAGCAGTTTTGCTCTAGGATCAATGAGGTCTTGTCTGGAACTTAAAACAGTAGCCAAATCGGTCACAGGTCTTCTCTGTCTGACCTAAAACCCCACAAAACTCTTAAAATGGGCCTAAGGGCTTGGTGTGAGATTGGGACACCAACCAATGATGTGTCATGTAATTTTTTTGTACATATTTAATAATGTGTTGTGAATAACAACATGAATCCATCTCACCTCAAGTTTGTCTCTGACGAAGCCTGCCAGGCCTGGGTTGGTTCTGTTTGGTCTGCCATCCTTCTCCAAGGAGCCACCATTTTGTGTCTTGTCTGCATCGCTGCCTTTAGCTGAGCGACGGAGGGACAAGGTGGAGGGCCGCGGCTGCAGTTGTCTCTTTATGAGGTCCTTCAAGCCGTGTTTCTTCTCCACTGAGCTGATCGTTTCATCCGGAGAGTCCCAGCCATTGTCCGGCCGCTTCCTCGACTCCTTTGCACTGGAAGGAAGAGACCGGGAAGAAGGATAAGAGAGGTAGGAGGGTTGGATTGATTGCAAAAAAAAAGATTCAGTTAAAAATAAAGGTTCAAGAATATTGCGTGGTGTTTTTAAAAACATACAACTGGGATGAGGGGGTGGCAGGGATGTGAGGTGATTGGGGTGACAGATAACAACCTGGATGAGAGGGGGTAGGCCTATGTGAGAGTTGTTACCTGTACTTGTTGTGGTCTTTGTAGCTTCCCCCCACCGTCCCAGGCTGCTCGGCCGAAGGATTGGAGAGAGCGCTGCGGAGGAAAGCTTTCAGCACCAGACGAGTGTCTGCCTTGATCTCAACCAGAGAGATGGACGAGACAGAGGGGTTGGGAGACGTAGGGTTGAGCACATCAGCTGACATCACTGAGAGAGAGATTATTATTGGCATATACCTGAAATGTTTTGTGTCTTAGTATGCAGTCTAGTAACACCTACAAGTGCATGTTTCAAATCAACTCCAAAGGCAGCCCCAACCTAAAGACAGCAACACTTTCATTAGTCAGAAGATTTGATTGTAACTTCTAGCTCTTTTATTGACTGACAGACAGACGTATGTAGCCTAGATCTGTCATGCTTCCACAGATGGGTTAGCTGATGTCACAAAAACGATGTGCACGCTTCAAATGGGACAGAAGTCGGTGAATTGTTGTGATTCTGGATGCCCACATAGCTACCAACAATTACAAGAAACTGCCATGTGGGGAATCGTAAGTGACTAGTTTCCGCTAGTTTCATCTTGTTCTTGATACCATGTCTTGTTTTGAGGTGTTTTGACTGATTTCATGACAATGCTAATATGGCAAAATATTTGCTAGCTAGCTAACCAACAACTGTAACGATGTATTTGCTCATTGTGCAAATGTATTTATGTTTTCAATAAACAGAGAAGAAATATAGTTTACATGTCAACAATCTAAGCCAACCCAGTCTGTTTTGCCCCATAGTTGTGCGAGCGTCGGTTGTGTTGCTAATGGAACATATTTTCTTTACCTGAATACGACAGTGACAAACACCATGGTAACTAGGCTAATGCCATCGCACTCATAGGGAAGTGAAAGCTATGCCGCACACAAACACACAGCTGGAGAATCCAATCTATCCACATTTCAATAATTAATAATAATAATAATTCTACACACAAGAGTTTGAACTTCCCCCTCACATCTCTGTCACTCGTGCATGTAGTGCACACCACTGTCAACCTATCTACTATGGAGTGATGAAAGAGGATAAGAACCCATAGACTCACTCTCTGTTCTCTGCCAGCTACTGTATTTAAGCTGATTGGCCTCTCTTTAAGGGCCGCAGAAAGAGCAGCAACGCTCCTCTGGGTGTAAACTCTGTGAATTTGGAAACTAGTGTGCTCCCGAGTAAAATGGACCACACTTTTACTGAGACATAACATACAGGAAATTGTGTACGGTCCAATATGTATGTCCAATATGAAAAAACGGATTGGGTTTAAGCTGATAAGCTACTCTTTAAGGCCAGGCACCACACCTTAGTAGGATATTTTTTTTCCCCTTCATCATATCACAATCAACTTTAACCAGTTGAATGTGGACACAAATAGAATACTTTTTTGGATAAAAAAAAAATAATACTAAAATACTTAAAAGAAAGCTACTGTAGAGCAGTGAATACAATGGATACTACACAGCTGCCTCGGGTCCATCGGGCCCCACCACCCTTCGGTCCTCGAGGGGTTTGCAAAACCTCTCGAGGCGAAAGAACAGCCGGACCTCCTCAGCCATTGCACCAGCTGTCGTCATCGGCAGTTCTATGGCAAGAAACATCATGATTCCTGGGGCCAAAACCATGTGCTATCCTGGAGCACGAGTACAGGACATTACAAGGCTGCTTTTGACCGTTCTACGACAGATGCCGGGAGCTGACGCTGTCGTAGTCCATGTGGGGTCTAACGATATTAGGAGGGTTAGCTCGGAATTTCTGAAAATTGATTTTAAAATAACCGATTCTAGCAATGAAAGATTCCAAAAAGCGGCCAATTATTTCAGGTCCGGTACCATCATTGGGCCGTGGGTGTGAAAGATTCAGCAGGCTATTGGCATTACACACCTGGCTTACTGTAGCGCTGTTGGAATGACCTTTACTCTGACAGAGCTCCAGAGTTGATCTGCACCATGTCACACTACATGGTACAGATCAAGACACCACTGACAAGGATAGGCCTTCTCTTACACCAAATATAGAAAATGTAAAGAGGAGTGCTGCCATGGTCAGTGCAAAGGTGAGAGCGACCATCAACTGTGTTGAATGTGAGAAACCAAGGTGCTTGTATGCCTAAAGCAAGCTGTCTAAAGAAGAACAGAAAGCAGTCCAACGCATTCAGGATGAGAACACTTTTACATGTGGTTCAGAGCTTTACCAAGAAGACAATCCATATCACGAGCAGATAGTTGCTTTCAAGGGGCTAACCTGTGGAATGCAAGTGGAGACACAATATTACTCAGAAATCACTGTCATTCCCAGATGTGTGTCCATTGTGGATGTCCAGATGTTCTTGAGGGGGAAGAGGTGGTGAGGCTCAAACAACAATTCCAACATCTCAGGCCAATGTGCCCAGTGTGTAAGCAAGAAGGAAAGCAGTTCCTTACGAGAGCTCCAATAAATCTTAAAAAGAAATGAACACCCTAGAGACCAGAATAAAAACAGACAAAACAGACCGTGCTGTTGAACAGTAAAAAGCAGCAGGTGATTGTGCTTGTTGTGATTGCTGATCACAGAACATTGTCCCTCATTTTCATTTCCAGATGATTCTACATGTTGAATAGCCATTGTTTGTTGACACCCAGTAGGTGATCTACTGCACATGGCCAACATTAGTTGTGGTGTCTTGTGAAGCTGAGCTGTGTTTCATTTCTCATGGTTATAACAACATTGTAACATCTGCATTCTTTTTAAGAAAAATAGTGTAGGTTTTCGCATGGAATAATATAACTCTTGAAGCTCACATTAGGCCCAAGTGTCTAGGACAATGTGGTAAAGTACTGTTATTCCTTATCCACATAATGTTTATTTTTTATTTTATTTTCGCTCATCTCACTTTTCTGGGGGGAAAATCCGTTAAACAGTGAATCAATTTTGTCTGGCCTAAGTATGAAATGCTTGATAATGCATGTGATATCAACAGAGAGGTATACAGTGCATTCGGAAAGTATTCAGAACCCTTGACTTTTTCCACATTTTGTTACAGCCTTATTCAAAAAAATAATAATTATGTCCCTCATCAATCTACAAAAAATACCCCATAATGACAAAGCATAAACAAGTTGGTAGAAATTTAATAAAAAACTGAAATATCACATTTCCATAAGTAATCAGACCCTTTACTCAGTACTTTGTTGAAACACCTTTGGCAGCAATTACAGCCTTGAGTCTTCTTGGGTATGACGCTACAAGCTTGGCACACCTGTATTTGGGGAGTTTCTCCCATTCTTCTCTGCAGATCCTCTCAAGCTCTGTCAGGTTGGATGGGGAGCGTTGCTGCACAGCTATTTTCAGCTCTCTCCAGAGATGTTCGATTGGGTTCAAGTCCGGGCTCTGGCTGGGCCATTCAAGGACATTCAGAGACTTTTCCAAAAGCCACTCCTGCGTTGTCTTGGCTGTGTGCTTAGGGTCGTTATCGTGTTGAAAGGGTAACCTTCGCCCCAGTCTGAGGTCCTGAGCACTCTGGAGTAGGTTTTAATCAAGGATCTCTGTACTTTGCTCCGTTCAGCTTTCCCTCGATCCTTACTAGTCTCCCTGCCGCTGAAAAACATCCCCACAGCATGATGCTGCCAGGTTTCCTCCAGACTGGACGCTTGGCATTCAGGTCAAATAGTTCAATCTTGGTTTCATCAGACCAGGGAATCTTGTTTCTCATGGTCTGAGAGTCCTTTAGGTGCCTTTTGGCAAACTCCAAGCGGGCTGTCATGCGCCTTTTACTGAGGAATGGCTTCTGTCTGGCCACTCTACCACAAAGGCCTGATTGGTGGAGTGCTGCAGAGATGGTTGTCCTTCTGGAAGGTTCTCCCATCTCCACAGAGGAACTCTGGAGCTCTGTCAGTGACCATCGGGTTCTTGGTCACCTCCCTGACCAAAGCCCTTCTCCCCCTATTGCTCAGTTTAGCCAGGCGGCCAGCTCTAGGAAGAGTCTTGGTGGTTCCAAACTTCTTCCATTTAAGAATGATGGAGGCCACGGTGTTCTTGGGGACCTTCAATGCTGCAGAAATTTTTTGGTATCCTTCCCCAGATCTGTGCCTTGACACAATTCCTTCGACCTCATGGTCTAAGGCACTGCATCGCAGTGCTAGCTGTGCCACTAGAGATCCTGGTTCGAATCCAGGCTCTGTCGTAGCCGGCCGCGACCAGGAGACCCATGGGGCGGCGCACAATTGGCCAAGCGTCGTCCATGGTAGGGGAGGGAATGGCCGGCAGGGATGTAGCTCAGTTGGTAGAGCATGGCGTTTGCAACGCCAGGGTTGTGGGTTCGATTCCCACGGGGGGCCAGTATGAAAAATTAAAAAATAATGTATGCACTCACTAACTGTATGTCGCTCTGGATAAGAGCGTCTGCTAAATGACTAAAATGTCAAATGTAAATGTAGACAGGTGAGTGCCTTTCCAAATCATGTCCAATCAATTGAATTTACCACAGGTGGACTCCAATCAACTTGTAGAAACATCTCAAGGATGATCAATGGAAACAGGACGCACCTGAGCTCAATTTAGAGTCTCATAGCAAAGGGTCTGAATACTTACTGTATGTAAATAAGGTATCCGTTTTTTTATTTTGAATAAATTTGCAAACATTTGTAAAAACCAGTTTTCGCTTTGTCATTATGGGGTATTGTGTGTAGATTGTTGAGGAAACATTTTCATTTAATCCATTTTAGAATAAGGTTGTAACGTAACAGAATATGGAAAAAGTGAAGGGGTCTGAATACTTTCCGAATGAACTGTATTTGCATATGTTATGATCTTGTGAAGGCTGGCTGAATTCTGGCAAAGAGTATGTTATTTTATCTCAGCATTACAGATTCTCCCTTTTTTTCTGTTTTTGTTTGCTTGGAAATGTTGATACTGGACTTATTAGAAGAAACTGTGTAACCTAGCATTTATAGCGGCTAAGAAATGCATTGCCATTTATTGGAAGGTTGGTTATCCTCCCACAATGTCACAATGGATGGCAGAAATGTCAAGTTATGTATCACTAGATTTGATTTATTACAAGATTAAGGGTATACTGTGCAACTTTCATAAGGTATGGGTGCCTTATATGGAATGGCCTACTGTATGACAAAAGGGGTCTGTATTGAAAACAGATTATTATTTTTTTGCACACACTAAACACCTGTTTGATTTCCGCCTGTCTCT